GGGGGGGAAACAGTAAATAGTTTAAAATGTAAGTACTATGTGAAGCTTAAAAGATTGACTTAAAACCAAGAACACAGAAGAAACTGCTGAATATACTAAAATAACTAGCCTGTACGTGTGTGTGTGTGTGTGTGTGTGTGTGTGTGTGTGTGTGTGTGTGTGTGTGTGTGTGTTTAACAAAGAAAACCTTTGAAGATGTAGTGGAGGAGATCAGTAGAAATAAAGATGTGACTGTGTGGCTGTCTGACTAAAAGAAACAACCTCATTTTAAGGTTGCATTAAGTTTCTAAACAGAGAGACATCCATTTAGTCCTTATGGAGACAGATTAGACCATTATGATTATGATCAGCCATGAGCTATACACTGCCCAGTGCTGACAAGAAAACCAGAGATAGTTCATGTGTTTCCATTCGTTTGGCTATTTGTCCCTGTGCTTTATCCAACCTTGGTCTCAACAATTCTCACTCATATAAACCCTCCTCATTCTCGCTAATTGGACTCCCAGAGATCCACCCGGGGCCTAGCCATGGATCTCTGCATCCAGATCTCTCAGTAGTTGGATGAGGTTTCTAGCACGACAATTAGGGTGTTTGGCCATCCCATCACCAGAGTAGGTCAGTTCGGGCTGTATCTCAACCATTGCCAGCAGTCTATGAACCAATGACTGAGGGGTCACCAACTGGATCAGGCCCTCTGAATGGGTGAGACAGTTGATTGGCTTGATCTGTTTGGGAGGCATCCAGGCAGTGGGACCGGGTCCTGTGCTCATTGCATGAGTCCGCTGTTTGAAACCTGGGGCCTATGCAGGATCGCTTGGCTTGGCCTGGGAGGAGGGGACTGGACCTACCTGGACTGAGTCTAACAGGTTGATCTCAGTCCGCGGGGAAGGCTTTGCCCTGGAGGAGATGGGAATGGGGGGTGGGCTGGGGGGAAGGTGAGGGGGGCGGGAGGGGGGAGAACAAGAGAATCCGTGGCTGATATGTAGAACTGCATTGTATTGCAAAATAAAAATAAATAAATAAATAAAAGTAGATTAAAAAAAAAAAGAAAAAAGAAAACCAGAGATAACTCAAGAGGGCAGGCCACATGGAAGGGACCAGAGGGCATCCTGCAGAGTGACTCAGAATTAAGTCATTTTTGGCTGAGTTAGTGAACTAGCAGGGAACCTGCTTGTTATGACTGGAGAAGAAAACAATGGTACAGACATGAGGAGCCATGAGAAGTGATGCTCCGTGTTTGAAAGCTCATCACACCAAAGAGACCCAAGAGGAAGGCTTTAGCCAAAAATGAAAGGCCACAGGGAAAGAACATCTAATTCATCTTAAGAACCAAATACTCCAGAAAGATGTAGGTTTACACAAGAAACAGTGGGTCTCCTGGCACTAAAATATTCAAATATAGGCAGGCTGTCATAATTGTTACCATCACCATCTTAGCTAATATCCATCAAGAGCAAACTAAGCTGTGGTGTTATGTCATTGTCCGGACATCTCGACTTACACAAGAAGAAACCAGTGCTCAGAAAAATACAAGCACAACCAATATTCAATGGAGCTGGGATTCAACGGCAGAGGTAGCTTTGAGGTGAAATGGCCAGAGTTTAATTCTAGTCAGCTGCTTGTGTATAAAATGACATGATGGGCATTTGTGGCTTCCACACAGCCCCTGTTCATCCACACAGCAGCCTGCCCCATTTTCTGGGATCCACTCCTTCCTAACTCCCCACTCATGTGGGTTCACTGCAGTCCGTTGCCAGCTCCTTTTCTGAGGTCACCCATGATCTCAGCAGACAACTGATAGACAGTATCTACCTGCAATGATGATGTGTCAGTTCAGAAACAGTCAGGTTGCCAGAGTTGGATCGAACACAGAAAATCAGATTGGATATGGACTCTGTGCAGTCGGTATTCACAGTGATGTGAGCTGGACATGCTGTGGGACGTAAAAGCAAAGCAATACAGCAGAAGATGCTTAGCCACAGCTTTCAGGGCCACCACTGAGGCCCACGCTAAGTCAATGGGAAGTCTGATCCACCCATGAACTTTCATGTGCTAACAAAGAGTGGCTCCTCTTCTTCACCCTCCTCTTCTTTCCTTCCCTCTTCCTCTTTCTTCCCCTTCTTTCTCTTCCTCCTTTTCCTTTCTCTCTTCTCCTCTTTTCATCCTCTTCCTCTGTCTCCTCTTCTTCCTCCCTCTCTTTGTTTCTCCTCCCCTCTTCTCCCTTTCCTTTCTCCTCCTCTATTTCCCCCTTCTTCTTCTTCATCTTCTTCTTTCTCCTCCTCCTTTTCTTTATCCTCTCCATCAAGTCATTTATACCAAGGGTTTTTTTTGTTACTTAAAGTGTTACTGCCCAGGAAAATGGGATAATAGGATTTCTGTTTTGCAGTTCTCACAATAATGCTGATCTAGTTTGTTCAAATGGATTAACACAACGTTTGACATGAAAATTGCCTGACTTTATTATTATAAAGTCTTTGTACAGATGTAAGTATCGTCATTGAACAGATGACCACTAACCCTTCTGTAAGAGTAGTTGTCCAGGAGAATGAAGATTAGGATACTGTAGATCAAAGAAGACAGGCACAGATCAAAGACAACAGCCTACAGATTAGGATACTTCAGATCAAAGAAGACAGGCACCGATCAAAGACAAGAGTCGAACGGTGGCTCCACGGAATGAAGAAAGACCCCCAAGGAGCTCACTAAAGCTGCTCACAGGGAGCATCAAATGGAGACTTGCAGAGCAAAGAACTCACTACTCAAAATCCCTTTTGCTCTGCAACTCACATGAGTTGTGGATGGAACTTTATAGTCTTGTCAGCCCTCAAAGTCAAAACCCTGGAATACGCAGCCCCAGCCATTCACAGGTCAAGTTACTATTGATTCTCCGGCAATTTTCAGAGTGCCAGATCACATAAACCAAATTATTTGTTTATTTCAAATGCTTGCAGTGCACTTATAGTTGATTTTGTGTTTCAAAGATCTCTTTGTCATTGAAATAACATTCAAAAAGCCTCAAAAGTATGAGCTAAGCTCCTGGCAGCCTGAAAGAGAGAATTCATTTTTATATAAATCTATTGCTCACTAGTCTACTTCCCATAGTTTTAAAATGCCTGGTGTGTTTGTAGTTTTTATGAATTTTTTTCAAAAAATATTTTCAAGGTGGTAAAAATAAAAGCATAATTGCTTTTCTGGACTTGCATCAAATTCAATTACATGTAAAGTAAAATTAGCAATTTGATCCTGAAGCCAAAGAAAATTAGGAACAAAACCTCTGACTAATACCACTAATGGCAAATCTTTACAGAGAAGCACAGGCTGAGTGACACACTTCACCGTCCCTGGTAGTCAGACATATCTGGGCATCTGGCAGACAGTGGGCTAGCCTGGCCAGGAGTCTGTGGTGACACGGCGGAGCCTCCTTACTTGAGCTTGAGGTGAGGACAAAACCTTCCTCCTTGGCAGACAGTAGGCATTCCAAGAATGCTAGAAGGGGTGGGGTGAAGTGGGGTGTGTGAGAAGATAGGGTGGGATGGGGGCTATACATAGGTGTAATTTCAGGTTTCAGGAAAGGAAAGGGAGTACTTTGATTCCCACCCCGACCCCCTAAGCAATGGGGATTGAACCTCTTGCCTTGCTCATCTGGGTGAGAGGTCTACCACTGAGCCACACATCTGGAAAGAGTGTACTCCCTATCTTATTGCAAACACTGTAAAAGCAGCCCGGTACCCAAAATGAGCAACTGTCTACCAAGGTGTAACACCAGGGAGAATGATTGCTGTTCTGTCGCCAGAGGCTGCCACGTGGAACTCCAGGTCCAAGGACTCATGGCTCCTGAAGCTTCAGGTGAGGAATCACATGAGGGCAGAGGCCAGCATTCTGGCAGGAGAGCATGGAGCCTCCATATGGCCCCTGTTGGGAACAGTCATGAGGAGAATGCTATCACAGTGTACTAAGCTAAGAAGCCTGGTCAAAAGGACATAGATTGTGGGCTGGCCTGGGTACACTGGGCACAGAGCACATTCAGGATGTTCTTGGAGACTCCAAGAAACCCTCGGACTAGGAGCGCAGGAGCACTTTGCAAGAAGTTGAGCCTGTGGGGTCTGAATAAATCTATGGGCAGCAATGCCTGTGGACCTCATGCATTTTTATCAGTGAGGACTGGGAATATCTGGATGCATACCAAGTCATTTGATATATTGTCCTCTGACCAGAAATACCTTAAAAATAAAAAAAGAAAGAAAGAAAACAAGGTTTCAGATAGATAAGACCCCCCCCCCAAAAATTAGTTTGAACTCTTTGATTTAAATGATGTAATAACAAAGATGTCCTTATATTTATTTTGGTAGTATTTAATGCACTTGTAAATTAGTTTCAAGTCATATTTGAGTTAGAGAAGTCATCATATGCCTTCCTGTGTATTTTATCTTTTGTTTTGATTTTTTTTTTTTTTAGACAAGATTTCACTATGTAGCTCTAGCTGTCCTGGGACTCACTAAGTAGAGGAGGTGGTCCTTGAACTCACAGAGATGCCCCTGCCTCTGCCTCTCAGGTTCTGAGATTAAAGGCATGTGCCACCAAGCCTGGTTCTGTGTATTTTATGCAATCAAGGATACTTCTTAATTTCAGAAATGAAAGGAAAGAGTCCTTTTTCATCAACCACTGAGAGACCTGTCACAGAATGAGCTCTCCACAGCCAGGAGTTGGACACTTTGACAGGAACCATGGGCTACTTTGCTTTCTGGACTGAGAATCATAGGACTGTCAGGAAGCTCATACTTTCTTATTGACTCTAAGTACTTCATTTTCCAGGTAAAGAAACATACTGAGCTGGCCCAGGAGACATTATGGCATGATCGCAAGTCAACCATCAGCAGAGGCCAAAAAAAAAAAAAACAAACCTAACTCACCCTGTTGTGTACTAGGCCTCACTTACAGGGGCCATGAGCAATTCACTGCGTTTCTTTTAAACACATCCCAGCTCAGTTCTTGCACTGTACCTTGGAGTATGCTCTTTATTATCCCTTCGATGTGATCAGCCAGGAGATCGGCCTTGGTGATGGCAGCCAGGGATAGGTAGTTGGACATGTTCCTACACAGCTCCTTGTTACCTCTGTGGAGGAATTTCACTGCGATGGGGACGGCTAGTACCATCACAGGGGTCCGGTTGTAATTCTGAGGAAATATGAGAAGGCAACAAACATTCGTTATTCATTCATCTCAAAACTATTTGCTGGGCTCCTCGACTGCAGCTGTGAAAACACAGGCCCTGCCCTGTTGACACAGCCTGCGGGGGCCCCCTTGGTCTCATAGGAAGATTAGGGGCAGTTGATAGCATTCGCGGGAGGTACGACCTGTGAGGTGCAGGTTGCTAAGGAGCACCCATTCAGCCTGGAGGTGTCAAGAAAGACTTCTAGAAGAATGGGTGCCTTAGCTGGGACTCAAGGGATGGGTTAGGGTAGCTGGGTGATGGTGAGGTAAAGACTGAAGAAGGAAAAGCCACTGTGGAGGTGCAGAGGTGAGGGAGAACGTGGTCTCCTAGGGAGCTGTGGGTAACTCAGTGTGGCTGTAGTGTTCTACGTAGGAAAATCAGCAGGAACTGGGAAGGCCAATGGACCTGGGAATATACAAGGAGGCTGAAGAGTTTGGAACTAACCCGAGGGCGAACAGGGGTCAAGGGGAGGGACAGAGCATCCGATTTATATTTGAGAAAAACAACCGAAGGAATGTTGATAAGCTTGATGTTTGTTGGAGTAGAATATTATTTTAAGGTGTGTTACTTTTGTTTATGTTGCATTTGTGTAACTCTGTGAGGCTGTGTTACTGTGTCTGTCTAAAACACCTGGTGGTCTAATAAAGAACTGAACGGTCAACAGCAAGATGGGAGAAAGGATAGGCAGGGCTGGCAGGCAGAGAGAATATATAGAGGGAGAAATCTGGGAGGAAAGGGATCTAAGATCTAGGAGCCAGAGAAGGAGGGGCACTCCAGGGGCCAGCTACCCAGCTATACAGCAAGCCATGGAGTAAGAGTAAGATTTACAGAAGTTAGAGAATGGGAAAAACCCAGAGGCAAAAGATAGACGGGTTAATTTAAGGAAAGCTGGCTAGAAACTAAGCCAAGCTAAGGCTGGGCATTCATAAGTAATAAGCCTCCGTGTGTGATTTATTTGAGAGCTGGGTGTCGGGGTTCCCCAGAAAGAGCCAAACAACAACCTACAACAGTTGGTCTTTTAGAATCAATCAAGGATGGACAGATGCAGAAAATGTGATACGTACATACAGGAATACTATTTGCTCATAAGAAAGAATGAAATCGTATCATTTTCAACAACATGAATGGAAGTGGAGAGCACTGTAAGGTGTAGTTAGCTAGATGTGGAAACAGAAATATTACACGTTCTCACAGTGTAGTTAAAAAGGTGAGTTCGCATAGATAGATGAACTCATCACTTTAGTCCCAGCTAAGGTGTCCATTCCTCTAGAAGTCTTTCTTGACACCCTCTGGCTGGAAGAGGATTGAAGGAGATCAGATAATGGGCGCCAAAAACAAATGTATAGGACAAGCGCTAATATTTACAGCTTGTCAGGACAAATGACACAAGTTCAAGGGGCAAGAAATACTAGAGGCCTTGACATCATTGCACATTACAAGTAATGATTGAAACACAGTACACTCTGCGTGTCAATTAAAAATGCTAACATTTTAGTTAATGATATTCAAAAGAAAAAATAAATATAAGGCTAAAACCTGAAGGCATTCTAGATTCTTAAATAATTCTCTTCTTATTTATTCTGTGACTCACCTTAAGGGTCTCCTAAATGCTGCCATCGGCACTTAGCTAATTAGGAGATAATTGTAGATAAATTGTAATATATTCACAACCACCATCCCTACCGCATAGATTGACTATGGGCAGAACTGTTTACATGTAATGTGTTTGGGAGCTGACTTCATAGTCCTTTATCGGTATATTATAAATAAAAGGGGTTGCTTTTCTCTGTGTGAAAGCTACTAGTTATTCCATCCATGGGTGGTGCTTTCTACTACTTCCAACAATTCCATGCTTATGGTAGGTCCTCAGTAAACATGGTGGACTGAATAACAAATGAATAAATGTAATTAGGCTGAGATATGGCCATTGCCTATCACCCACGTAAAAAGCTGAACTTGATGGCAGGTGCCTGTAATCCCAGCACTGGGAAGGCAGACACAGGAGGATTCCCAGGGCTTGCTACCTGCTAGTCTTGTCAAGTTGGTGAGTTTCGTGGTCAGTGGGAGTCCCCGTCTCAAAAAAAAGGGGGGGAGCACATCAACAGAGGAACAGAGGAAGACACCCAGCATCAACCTCTGGCCTCCACATGCAGACACACACACAGACACACAGACAAGCAGACACACAGAAACATGCGCACATGCATCTAGTACACATACACAGGCAGGGAGTAGGGAGGAAGAAAGAAGATAATGTGGCTACGCAGTGATGGCTGTCACTGCAAACACAGTGTGTTGGGAAGGGCATGTGACAGAAAACAGACTCTGGAGGCCCCTCGGGTCTTTGTCACCCTCTTGCTGGCTGAGATGTTACCCAACTCTCAAGATCATTTGTAACAGTGACTGTCATTACATTTTCCCAGTGAGCAGTCTCTGATAAGTCGGTCTCAGGGTAGACACAATATCAACTGACTGGCACAAGAAGACTCTCCAGGCTGCTTAAGGACCAATGACCTTGGAGAGAAGGTCATGTAATAATGACACTCCAAATAGGGCATATACTGAGTAACTGTCTAGGTTACTACAATGTCTAGGTTACTACAATGATCAGATTATGGTCGTTGAAGGGAAGCCTGGAGCGGTGGGCAAGTGTGATGCAGAAACTTCTACCTCTCCAACAGTAAATGGGTATTTCCTTTTTCTTTAGTAATCGGTTTCTGGGTTTCTGCTGGGGATAGCCACATGATTGCAGACAGCATTTTCCACTTTCTTCGCAATCAGATGTGGCCACATGCAAAGCTTTAGACAATGAGACAAGGAAGGCTTAATGTGCAACCTTTAGGCTACTATTAGCATGATGTGACTTGGCTTTTTAATTCATTTTTCCCTTTAAATCTAGTTGGAACAAGGACCCGGTAACAAGGACTGAAGCAGTTGTCTAGGACCATGAGTTAGAAACTGTGTGTAGTACAGAGAAAAGAGGAGCCTCCATATCAGCCCTGGCCTGACACTTCTGAATTGTCCATGAGAGATAAAAACGCCCTGTGCAGTTTAACTGACTTTCTTTGGGGGCCTTTGTTATGGCAGCTGAGCTTCATTCTGACCAGAAAAGTGCTAAGCCTGGGCCACTTTCATTCTTGAAGCATTCTTAGCAACTTAAAGGGAATGTTATATCCTTAGATGGTGTGGAATATAACAAACCTATAATAAAGACCAAAGAAGGAACATGAGGCCAAGATTGCCACTGATAAACAGCATCTCTGAGCATCATCACAGTATCTTAGATATAGGGTGGTTAAGTCAAAAAGGACACTTAATGGGAGAAAACAGTGTCTTGACCATTACCATTATGCCAACCAAAACAAAAGTAAAATGCCTATCTAATAGTAAAAAATAAAGAAAAGGTGGAAAAAGAACTTATTCAGTGTCCCCAGTGGCTTTGGGTCAGTGAGAAGTTCCTCAAATCTAACTAAAACATTACAATAAAAAAAGGGGAATGTAAAGCGGATAAGGACTTCTAACTCAGCGATATTCTAAAAGAATGAAAAGATAATCCAAAGGACACGTATTTGTGATCCATTTATTCAACAAATGGCTAACCATTACTAGAATATATACATATAAACAAACTTGGAATCAGTAAGAAGAAGGCATGCAGCCAAACGAGAAAAGAGATAAAAGGTTTGAACAGATGCCTCACCAGTAAGAATATAGAAGTTGACTGAACACATGAAAATTTGCTCACTTCCATTACAATTCATTTTGGTCTGGGGCTAAATTACAAGGCATCATCAAGAGATGAACTCTTTTCTGAAAGAGGCAAAGCTCTCACATTCAGTTTTCAGTTAGTTTTCTGAGTGGATTAAAACCTGGTGTACGCAGAGGTCCGAACATTCTGTGCGTATCCAGACACCACCTGTGAATGACCATGACATGCAGTGGTGGGTCCAAGACAGTTCACAGTACACAGTGCCAGTGCCAGTGCCAGATGGGGCAGCTGTTCACACTGAGTATGTGAGTCAAGTAAAGGAAATGGTATGGGGTAGCTGAGACACTCAGTGAGTTGGGAGCAATAGCTTTGGAACACTCTGAGCCCATAGTACTTCCTAAAGTGACAGAAAATGGTATTGCGATGATTTCCTTTCCACCTCCAGACCCCAGCCTCATTAAACCCTGCCCAGTGTCTTGCTTTCCTTCTTTTGGAGATTTCACATTAACTCCTCTTTGAGGAGCTTTCCAGTTCTACTGATGGCATTTCTACCCTCGGTCTCAACAGTGATTAAGTGACTCAGCCTAGCAGAGAGCCACATTTCCCTGGTTCAAATTATGGCTCCAGAATAAGCTGTGACCAAATTTAATTAAGTAGTCTTCAGAGGACTCTGTGATTGTGATTTTCCTGCTGGATTCAAGGTACTGATAGTTTATGGGTGTCATTATCACGTGACCTCAGTAGGCAGGAGAGAACTTGAATGAAACTTAAGGAAATACAGGGTCAGAGAGGCAAGCTGGGAGAAATCAGGTCCTGTTAACATTTGAGTTCCATGTGCCTAGCCCATCTCCATTCCTAAATTTTTCAAAACAAGCCAATTAAATATATTTTGCTTAAGTATTCCTACTTTCCTAGTCACTAGGAACAAGCAAACAAACAAACACACAAACAAAATGGCTAATATGTTTTAACTCATTCCTGTGTTCTATCAGTTTTCCAGATACAGAGTCAAGACCATGGCCTGCCTTGAGAATTCTCTGATGGCTTATCTGATTATCTTGCTCTGCCTTCCCCATCTTCTAGCAAGTATATATGGGCCTGACTGGACTGGCCATTGCTGATGTAGTAGGTCATGAAGCCTCCCTGGGAGACAGGCTCCTCCTTCCTCCCAGGCCCAGCACTCATCCACATAGAACTGCTTGGATCTACTGAGGCCAACTCACACCAAGGGATTTCTAGAAGGCTGACACATAA